TGTAACCCTGCACTCAGGAGGCTGAAGCAGGAGGAATGCAAGTTTGAGGCCAGCTTAACATCATACAGTCTGAAGACAGCCTGGATTATATAGTAAGATACTATCTCTAAAACAAAACACAAACAATCCCAAAACTGAAATAATATCAAAGTATATGCATTTCAGTTCTGTTTCCCAGGGGTCACCTTATCTGCTTGTTTGTTTATTTATTTATCGATTTATTTAATATAACTGAACCCAGCTCAGCCCACCAGGGGGCTAATATAACTGAACCCAAGACCTTTGCACTAAACTGCATTCCCATCCCTTTTTAAATTTTTAAATTCTGGGGGCTGGGGAGATGGTTCAGTAGAATAAGCACTTTCCTGGCAAGCGCAAGGACCTGAGTTCAATCCCCAGTTCCACAAAAAAAAAAAAAAAAAAGTAAATTTTTAAATTCTGAGGCAGGATTTCATGCAGTGTCCAAGTTACCTAGCAGGATGGGCTTGAACTAGTAATCTGTCTCATCCTCTTGGAGTGCTGGGATTGCAGGCAGTGTGCCACTACACTCAGAATTTTTTTTTTTTTTTCAGAACCGGGGATTGAACTCAGGCCCTTGCACTTGCCAGGGAAGCACTTATTCCACTGAGCCATCTCCCCAAGCCCAGGTTTTTTTTATTTATTTATTTTTTTAGATGGGTTCTCACTGTCGTAAGTGGGCTCAAGGCATGCTTCAGCCTCAGTCTCCCAAGTAGTTGGAACTGCAGGCAGGCACCACTGTGTCAGGCCAGGGTAGGTGTTTCTAAAACTTCAGATGTAATAGAGAAGATTTTTTTTTTTAAAGACTAACAGAAGGCATCAAGATTGGGAAAGAGCCATGTGTGATGGCACATGCCTGTAGTCCTAGCACTTGGTGGGCTGAGACAGGAGGATTGCCGAGACTACCTGGGGCTACATAGTCAACTAAAGGCCAGCCTGAAGTACAAAGTGCAATGCTGTGTGAAAAAGGAAAAAATAAAAACAGAAGCAAAACCAAAATAAACATAGCAAGATTGGGAAAGAAAAGTAAAACTGTCACTATTCACAGAGAGAGAAAATTTAAAGTACGATTTTTTTTTTTTTTTTTTTTTTGCGGAACCAAGGATTGAACTCAGGCCCTAGCGCTTGCCAGGGAAGCACTTATTCCACTGAGCCATCTCCCCTGCCCCTTAAAGTACCATTTTAAAAAATCAAATTAGAACTGAAAATTTAAAGTACCATTTAAAAAAAATCAAGAATCCAGGAATGAATTTAGGAAAGTTTGAAAAACCCATACTCTGAAAATTATAAAATGTTAAAAACACCTGGTGAGGGGTTGGCTTCCTCTGGATTGCAAAGGATTGCAAAACTCGATATTATTACTCATCTCACCCTGAACTGCTCTATAGATTCAATGACATCCCAATCAAAATTTCAACAGATTTTTTTGTAAGCAAAGCAGGTGGAAATTGACCCCCCCCCAAAAAAAAAAATTAACCATAAAAGAAAGAAAGTCAGGCTGGAAATATAGCTCAGTAACAGTACACTTGCCTAGCATGTATAAAGCTCTGCATTCAATCCTGAGCAGCACACACACACACAAATAAATAAATAAATAAATAAATAAATAAATAAATAAATAAATGGAAGGAAAGAGAAAGGAAGGAAGGAGAGAGAGCGCGCTCAACGGTAGAGCACTTGTCTAATGGCTTTGGGTTCCATCCTCAGCAGCACACAAACAAAAATTAGAAATGTCTGTTCCTTAAAAAATAGCATTATAGACTGGGCGTGGTGGTGTGTGCCTGTAATCCCAGAACTTGGGAGGCTAAAAACAGGAGGATCACTATAAGTCCAATCTGTGTAGTGAGACCCTGCAAACCCTGTACTAAATACTTTTTTTTTTTTTTTTTTCGTAACTGGTGACTGAACTCAGGCCCTTGCACTTGCCAGGGAAGTGCTTATTCCACTGAGCCATCTCCCCAGCCCCACTAAATACATTTTTTTAAAAATGGGAAAAAGTAGCATTATGAGAATTTAAAAGAAAATCCACTAAGTGTAGTGCTGCATACCTGTAATCCTAGTATTCTAGGACGGTGAGACAGGAGGATCACATATTCAAGCCCAGTCTGGGCAACTTAGCAGTTCAGTGAGACCGTATCTCAACAGCATATACAAAAAGGGCTGAAGATCTGGTTCAGTGCAAAGGCCCTGGATTCAATCCCCAGTACTGTAAAACAAAATTCAGTATAGCAGTTACACTGGAGGTGGGTTTGTCTGGGAAGAGCCTTCAGAGCATTGTTGGCCGCTGAAATTCCTACATACTGATCTGGGTGGCGGTTGCATAGATGTGCACATACATGAGGCCCATGAGCACACTCTACTCCATGTAAATTATAGGGGCCGGGGAGATGGCTCAGTGGAATAAGCGCTTCCCTGGCAAGCGCAAGGGCCTGAGTTTAATCCCCAGTTCCGTAAAACAAAAACAAAACAAAAAAAAAAAAAAACAAACATGTAAATTATACTTTGACATTTAAGAAGCTCAGCTGGCAGCTACCTGGATGTCCAGATGAATGCAGATGAAAGGGAAGCAATGTAGTGCCGGCCTCCAGGCCAGAGGCCTCTCTGTCCTGTCTCTGCCCGGGTGGTGTCAGGGCATAGCCCAGCGTGGACATAGCCAGCTGTTGTGGGTTGTCAAGGTATATTCACTAGGTGACAGATTGCCGCTACTATTGGGGGTGGGGTGGTGCCAGGGAAAATGAGGGGCTTAGGGACCGAGTGGAAGAAGGACCCAGCTCCATGCCTCTCTGTCCTGGAAGGACATTATTTACAGTATTAGAATTTTTTTTTTTTTTTTTT